TGTTAATTCTTTTCAGGTGTTTGATGTTACTTTCTGTGACCTTTTAGTCAGGTCTGAATCAAGCACGTGCCCTAAAACTCTTTGCAGACATAATTGTGCCTTAGGATATAATCAAAGGCTGGCCATTTCCAAGGGTTGCTTCCTGAACCTGCCTTAGCTTTTGGTTTAGCGTATCCAGGGTTTCTGAGGCCAAATTGGGGTTAGCCAGTGTGCAACCTAGGCTATTAATATTTCTGAAATTGAACACGAGCCCTGGGACTTCTAATAATGAGACCACCAGCGCAACATATTCTGCCTTACTGGGAAACTGGGCAGCATCATTTGTAAGTCACAATCAGGGCTTGAGGTTTTGAAATCTCTTTTCTGCTATTTCTTCAGATATGGATTGTTAATTGCCTGAGGAGACATGGCCCAAATGGAATTGGCAGGAAGATATGCATGCGTAGGCCTTAGTGCCACAAAGCAAGAACCAGCCTAGGCAAAACCGTTACGTGGAGGCAGGTGAAGGCAATAGCCTCAGTGTGATTTTGAATGGTGTGCGTGTGCAGCGACTCCTACAAGATGGGTAGTACAAACACTCTTGACAATTCTCCCTCCCACCAGACCAGAGATGGAAGACTTGCTGTGCCAAAACTTTAACCTTAGACTGTCTACTATTGACCTCACCCCTTTCCTAAGAGGTCTGTAGGGGGCGTGCATAAGCGCACCAACGTGCCTACCGTCCCTGTCCTATTGTTTCTCTTATTCTTTTATTTTTCTTATATGTACCCATTTCATGTATTCACAACTATGTATACACTTATACTTATTATCTTGTAAACAATTGGCAAATCAAATAAATAAATAAATAAAATAACCACTCCCAAATGACATCCTTCCATGAATCCATTTAACGGATTATAATGTAAATGAGGCAAGAAAGAAAACCTCACAATGAGTTTCCACCCTCCCCCGATAGTCTTCCCAGTTGTTTTCTGAGGCTTCAAAGAGAATCTTTAGTCTCCACTTGTCCATCTCAAGGTCTTCTCTTTCAAGTCTACTGAGTAGTGTTGGGCTTGGCGTGGCGCTAAGGCTGGTCAGTCAGGCTTGGGAAGGTCTGTTGCACTCTGGTTGCAGTGATGACTTTCTGGTAGATGACAGGATCCATTCCCTGACTCAATTGGATGGAGGGTCTCCTCTGGAGGCAATGCCTGGGTCAGTGTGTTCTGCTTCCAAAGGTTGCAAAGTTGTCTGTGGAGGTCTGAAAGATATGAGGATAAGATCACCTTCCCCCTTTGTGAGGGACCCTCCCCAGAAGAAGCATTGTTGATCTGACATAGGAATGGCGAACAGAGGATAAGAGAGGGAGCAGTGGAGTGGGGTGGATAGCTTTCAGACAGGGTTTGAAAAGACACGAGTTGACACTACGCTTACTAAAGAGACAGATAAAACCCACTTAAGCATATACAGTAAAAGAAAGAATAAAACTTTTCATCTAAGTGAGTTTGAAACATTCCCTCCTGGGCTTTTTTTTTTTTTTTTTTTGGTTAAAGGTACAGAGAGAGAAGAGGGAAAATGAACACAGCTCTTTTCATCCTGTTTTACTGGCCAGGCAAACTAGGGTGAAAATATTTTTCTTTCATGGTTTAACATTTTTTTCTAACCAAGTTTAGAATTCTTGTTTTTAGGGATTAGACATTTAACAGTTACATTTACCTAACACACTAAGACCTTTACACACACACACACACACAAGTCAAGGGAACAAGAAAGAAAAGGACAACAGAACTCTCAGGTTTACACACCCTGGTCATTTTCACCATCTCAGTTAACTTTAGGAAAGAGAAAAACCTTAACAAAAATATTAATTGCTTAAAAGAAGGGGAGGGGAATCAGTGTTACTATATATTCACTTTTTTAAAGTACCTTTATTTAGCCAAATTGGTTTTCCAACTTTGTTCCTGAGCAAAGTCCACTCCTCATACAACTTCCTTCCTCATTTCTTGTTATACTAGTCAGGACAGGTAGAAGTCTCTCATCCCAGGCATCAAACAAGTCTCCAAGAGGGGAGCCTGACCCTCGAGCTAGTGGTTCCTATGTCTCCCTATTTCCGATGTAGGAATTCAATTGGCTCTGCCGGGTCCCAGTGATTAAACCTCCTAACAAGCTTCTGCCCTACCTATTCAGTTTTTGGACCCAAAAAAGGGTCAGGAGGACTCTGGTTCCCTATCAAAGAAAAGTCACCTCCTTTCCTGGGAACTCCCGCGATGGTTTTCAGACCAAAACGGGATCCTGGAGGACCTGCTACTCCCCTCACATACAGTGAGTATTATGTCAGGCTACAGAACTTTTTCCCATTCAATTAACAAGAATGAACTTCTGAAAACCAAACGTATCAAAAGGAATCCTTTATTGAGATGAGACAATTCATGTAGGAGTTCAAAGCAGTGACTAGGGTCTTTCAGGCATAAAGGGATAGATAAGGGAGTTTAGAACCCCTCCCCTTATCTCGATGTGTATTTAGTGAAACAAAAGCCAGTATGTTAATTTCCCCCCATCCCTTTTGTAGAAACAATCTTTTTCACAGTTTCCCAGGGCATACCTAATTGCCCCCCACCCCCTTTTCAGAACGAACTTTTCCAAAAGTTCCCAGGACACGTCTCACTGTGGAATTTTTATGGTCTTCTCATCTCTTGGCTGTGCCTCTCAGAAATGATAGGTTCCAGCCATCTGGGTTTCCTCCTTCCATTGTATCATGTGTGGGTTATACAAATTCGATATAAGATTAAATATATTCAGGTTACATCAAGAAAGGGTTTCTTTATCAGTCTCCTCCACCTTTTCTGCTTCCACTGAAGAAATGACAGATACAGGGATCTGACATATGTGCACCTCCATCCACAGCCTTTCCCGCCTCAATTTTCAAACCCAGGAGAGTCTGGGAGAACCCTGCTCTCCTTAACAGTGTGGTAAGGACACCTCCTTGGACAGGGCTTTGCTCAGTTACTTTCCAGCTGATTGTCTCGGTTCGACTCTCTTGCTTACTTTTCCATTCCATTTTCACACAGCTTCCCTTCTCCCTATAAGGTCCTTTGCTCTGCCAAACCCCCTTGTTTTCCAGGGTCTGCCGGTTGAACAGATCTGTTTGTGGCTAAGAAAGGTACAGACGGAGAAGGATCCAGCTGTGATTGAAGTGTCCTCTCACTCACACGCACAGGCATACACACATTTCCCTCACTCTCCTGGGCTTTAAACTTTAAAATTTAGAGGTACTCACTTTCTTTCCAAGCAGCCTGTTGAGCTCAAGACTCAAAACTCCCTTTACTACCCTTGCTCCAAATGGCCAAGGTCCGGGGAGGGGGCTCACCCACATGCAAGGGGTCTGCTACCAGCAAAGTGGAGGCCAGGTCTGCTGGTCAGCTTGGAGTCCCATCTAGGATGCTAAATTGTTGGAAGAAAAATCCGATTCAGTTCCAAACTGGAAGAAAGGCCCTGGAAATAAAAGGGAGGCTGATTGGAAAAGACTGTTTATTGGTGAGCAGAACCAACACCACCATGCAGTTCTGGGAACAGCTGACAAATTGGTTTTATGAGTCCATGAATTTTTATAGGGTTGAGATGCTACAGTTGTGCGAGGTAGCGAGCCTTATACCTTTTGCTATTCTATAATGGTGGTGAGTTAATCCTACCCTGTTTCTCCAACAATACGGCCTCCCCCAATAGGAAGTCCCAGCATGTTTTATAGGCATGAAATGAAATTAAGCCCCTCCCCCCAAATTAAGGCCTATATTAAAACATGAGAAATGGGGGGGGATGGTGGGGGGGGCTTGCCGTTAGGAAGTACTTTTGTTGCACACCCGGATATGGTGCTGCCTGCGTTGACCCTGATACGAAGTGCCCCACCAACGCCGAGGTCAACATCCAAGCCGTCGCCGCCCGCCCAAAGATGCAAGGGGGGGGGAATTAAGTCACCCCCAAAAAGACGGCCTAGCCATTTTTTCGGGGCTCAAAAAAAAAAAAAAGACCCGGCCTTATTATATGAGAAATGTGGTATTATCTCCTAAAAGTCATGTCTTGTCCTTCTTAATCCCATCAACTGGAGCTAAAAGTGTTTTTGTGAATAGATTGGCCCAGTCTTTCTTAATGGGCACAAAATATCCACGTCCAAAAACTTCAAGCATCTGTTGGAAGCGGTTTCACTATGCAGGAAGATTGGGTGTGCTTTCTGCCTTTTAAGAGCATGTTTCTCTATTTCTCCTTTGCGGAAATATATTATTGTCTCTTTGAATGTTCCCCAGATATTATTATTTGGGGTGGGTGGGCTTCCTACAGTATCTTCATCTTTATACATGTGATTAGTACCCATTAAAAATGCAATGATTGATTTAAATCCATTGACATAGGTGCTTTTTGTTTACAACAGGGGTGTCCAACCGTGGCAACTTTAAGACTTGTGGACTTCAACTCCCAGAATTCCTCAGCCAGCTTTGCTGGCTGAGGAATTCTGGGAGTTGAAGTCCACAAGTCTTAAAGTTGCCACGGTTGGACACCCCTGGTTTACAACCTCAATAGACACTTTTATTTAACAACTCACTAGACTTGTTATAGAAAGTATCCACCAGCGTTACTGATATGAGACAATTGGCGTTGTTCAAACAATGAAAAGCACAGCTTGGACGAGAGGGTGGAATCTCTTGTTATCTTGTAAACAGAGACAGGGGTTGCTAGGCTGGTAGTGGGACACCTCCCTGCACGGTGACAGGGCCAAAGGTAGCCTGCTAAATGTTTACAGAACGAACCAGATTACCCCCTCGATGAAGAAATTAAGCATAAGGCTCAGAGGCTGAGCTCGCCAGCCTAAAGAGAGAGCGAGAGAGACCCACTAAAATGTAAACCTCGCTCTGACAGACGACGGCCTCAGCGCTCGGAAGGCCGCTTGCGCATGCGCCTCCTCCAGCTCCCCTGACGCTTTGGGCCTGGCACTCCTTCTCCAACCTCGCCTCGAGGCCGCGCCCCGAGCCCGAGTCCCGCCCTTCCTGTTTGACTGAGGGGCGGAGAACGGTTGGCTGGGCCTTGGCGGCTGCTGCTCCTCTTCCTTCTCCACGGTGAAACGATTTGCGAGTCTCCGGGGCTGCTTCTTCTTCTTCTTCTTCTTCGTGGGCTGACCGGAGCTAGAGCTAAGATGGCGGATCCGGAGGACCAGCTCTCCGATGAGGAGAAGGTAAAGAAGGCCCCCCTCACCGCAGAAGAAGGGTCGCGTGTGTGGGGAGGAGAGGGGAGGAGGAGGAAGCGGTGGCGGTTTCTTCTCCCCGCTCTGCCCGGCGGGGGGAACAAGGAAGGAAGCGAATTGAGCAATAAGGGGATGTGGAGCCAGGCTCGAGCCCGTCAGCCCCGAGCCCGTCAGCCAGCGGGGGAAAGAGGTTTGGTTTCCTTCTGCCCGAGGCCTGTTTTTACTCGCCGCCCTCTCCACTCCTTGTACGGTCCGAGGGCTGAAAATAGGCTGCAAGGCTCCGGGCTGGGGCTGAAGCAAAGCGGGCGCGGCGCGGATCCGGTGTCTCCGCCCCGCCTTGCCTCGCCTCGCCTCTCTTTTAATCCGGAGGGAAGCCCGGCTGAGGGAAAAGGGGCTCCTCCAGGTCAAGCCCTTCTCTCCTCCGTCGGCCTCTGGAGTTGGTCCCGCCGCCGTCGCCGCCGCCGCTCTTGTCGCTGGAGCGGTTCAGGGCAGTTTCCTGGTGGCCCGCTTGATTTAATGGTGGCCCGTATAGCCTATTCACGTAGCCTGAGGTGATTTCCAAAAGATGGCTCTGGTGGACCCTTGTGTGTTTTTTTATTATTATTATTACGCCCCGACTTCTTGGACCTCTAGCCCCTTGACTCAAGATTATTTTGAGGGAGGGTTTTGTAGCTCTGATGATATGTTGTAATGTTTTGCTTGGAAAGGGGCTCCCACATGCTGCTTTGATTTTGGGTTTTCCAGGGGAAAGTTTGTTCATCTGAGGGTGCTGAGGGTAGTTCTGACGGGTTAAAGCCAGGGGTCTTCCAACTTGACAGCTTTGAGACTTGTGGACTTCAACTCCCAGAATTCCTCCTCCTCCAGTCATGTTAGCTCAGGAATTCTGGGAGTTGAAGTCCACAAGTCTTAAACTGGCCAAGTTGGAAGACCCTCGTGATAGATGATGGATGGGTGGGTGGGTGGATGGATGGATAGATAGATAGAGATGGGTGGGTGGGTGGATGGATGGATGGATGGATAGATAGAGATGGATGGATGGATGGATGGATAGATAGACAGATATGGATGGGGAGACAATAGACAGACAGACAGATGATAAAATTCAGAAGTCTTTAAACTTGACAGAGCTTTAAGACTTGTGGACTTCAACTCCCAGAATTCCTCCTCCAGTCATGTTAGCTCAGGAATTCTGGGAGTTGAAGTCCACAAATCTTAAAGCTCCGTCAAGTTTGAACATTCTTGGGTTAAAGGATAATTTCTTCTTGATCACTTCTTCCTAGGAGTCTTAAAGTTTGCATGCTTTACCCCTTTACTCGAATCCATGCTAGAAATGCCTCAATGTTTGAATTCACACAGAAAAGAATGTGCATTTGCTTTAGTTCTGTCAATCTCTGTTATTATTTACGGTGATGGCTTGTATACCCGGTTAGTAATAAATCCTTGTTTGTTGCTAAGCATGTTTTTAAACCATCTTCCTGACTCATTTTCTTGTGACACTGTATGTTTATAACATGCAGTTGTCACATCCCTACATTACTACTTATGTATAAGTTATTTTAAGCTAGATTTTAATATTTAGGAGGTTCTTTTTCCTGGTTTTATTCATTTAATCGCTATTGAATAAGTATAAGTCAAATCATGTATACATTCTTATATTTGTCCTTAAATTTGATATACTGGTATGAAAAGGAAGTCAGTTAACTTCCCTTCAATCAACCAAACTAAGCTTAAGAGCATCTTGCAGAATTTTGATTTGTTTAGATTCATGCAAATTAGTAAGCCATAATATAGGAGAATTACTTGATATGCTAATTGTGATTTGTTCAGTAAAACACAATTGCATGAGTTCAAACTACATATTTTAATTTTGGCAATTGTAGATTTAATAGACCGTAGTTAAGGAAATGACCAATTGGCCATAATAGAATCAGATCAAAATTTTGAAAGATCGCCGTTATCTTGATTTGGTTAATTGACAGGAAGTAACTTCCTTTTCATGCCACTATTATCCAATTAACAAATATAACAGAATACATGAATAATACCGTGTTTCTCATATAATAAGGCCGGGTCTTAATTTTTTTTTGAGCCCTGAAAAAACAGCTAGGACGTCTTTTCGGGAGTGAATTAATTTCTCCCCCCCCCCCCCCCCCCCCCTAGGGTGCCCCGCGGGCAGCTATGCCTTGCCACCAGCTACTCCTAATGGCCGATCATGGCAGAGCACGGAGGGCTCCCTACCCCCGCCAAGAGCCTTTGCTGCAGACCCAGGTCAGCAGGTGGGCGGCATCGACGTGGATGTCCGCCAGCAGCATTTCAGCTGCTTCTCAGGCCTCCGTAGCTTCCACAGTTCCCACCGGTGCTGGCGCCTCTCTCGACAGAGCCGTCTCCAACAACAGCGTCTGAGTCGCTACTGCTTTTCCCCATCCCTGTCCCCCCAACAACAGAAAAAAAAACATTTTGAGGTACCTGGGAGCGCTGTGCGCTGCGTTTTGGTTTAATCCCGAGCTCTGCAAGTTTCCAAAAGTCCCGGTGTGCCGTTCCTACATTCCAAGTGCGCCCAGGCCGAGCTGCAGCTGTCCCTCTCTCGCCAGTGCCATCTCGAAGAACAGCGACAGCAGTGGCAGGAACTGTGGAAGCGTTTCAGCCGCTTCTCGGGTGGGGGAGCTGCCTCTGTAACTTCCACGGTTCCTGCTGCTGCCGCCGCTGTTGTTGGAGACGGTGCTGGCGAGAGAGGAACAGCTGCAGCTCGGCCTGGGTGTGCTTGGAATTCAGGAATGGGCTGCGCACCGGGATTTTTGGAAATTTGCAGAGCCCGAGGCTGGAGCATCAAGGGTAGCAGCAGCAGAGACACTCGCTCAGCTCTTCTCACACCCACCCAGCCTCTTGTTATTAAACCAAAACGCAGCGCGCAGCGCTCCCAGGTACCTCAAAATGTTTTTTTTTCCTGTTGTTGCAGGGACGGGGGGAAAGCGGGAGTGTCTCAGATGCTGTTGTTGGAGACGGTGTTGGTGAGTGAGGTGCCAGCACTGGTGGGAACTGTGGAAGCTACGGAGGCCTGAGAAGCAGCTGAAATGCTGCCAGCAGACATCCACGCCGCCGCCACCCGCCCGCTGACCCAGGTCTGCAGCAAAGGCGCTTGGGGGTAGGGAGCCCTCCACGCTCTGCCATGATTGGCTGTTAGGAGCGGCTGATGGTGAGGCATAGCTACCTGCGGGGCACTCCTAACGGCAAGTTCCCCCCTGCCTTCCCCCCCCAATTTTGCATGTTTTAAACAAGGCCTAAATTTGTGGGGAAGGGCTTAATTTCATTTTATGCCTAGAAAACATGCTGGGTCTTCCTATGGGGGGGCATATTGTTGGAGAAACACGGTATATAGTTAAAAATAATTGAATTGGTTAATATTTATTCAGTAAAAAGCTTAGTTTAACCAAAGCTTAATTGTATATTAATCTAAATTTATCTAGAGGTTTCGTTTCAGGAAGGATAGCTGTATTGACTGATTTCAGTAGGAACCAGAGTCTTGAGTTCACATTAATCTATATACTATTAAAACTTTCATTCCTATAGACTTTAACTGGGAAAAACAGTGCATCATAGAGCAATAATTTTTGAGCCAAGGTATGTCAAATAGATTAACTTACAGAATGTGTTCAAAATCTGGGACCCATAACTCTCTTGGAATTGAAATTTGGCAATTTTTTAAAACCATTTTATGACATAAACATACCATCAGTGATTTATTCCATAATACAAAATGTCATAAAATATTTTCTGTGCTAATGTTTGACTGCTATCTAGTTCAACATGGGCTATTTTCAAGGGAGATATAGTTCTGAAGGTATCCCAACTTTTCCAGTGAAAGCAGTACATTAGAAGTTCTGTCATTGTTAAAGACATTGAGGAATCTAATAAGGAAATATCTCTCAACTGATGACCCAATGATGTCTCTATAACCTTTAACTGAATGAAACACGGGCAACAATTTTTGTTCCAAGGTACCTCAAATGGACTAATTTACAGAATATCTCCAAAATCTAGGACCTATGACTTCTGAGGAAATTAAATTGGGGAAGTTGTGGCTTTTTCAACTGCTGGGCTGCTGCTGTGGTCCCATGATCCTCATTTTCAATATTTCTGATAGTTTCTCAGCCATTATGGCAATCCTTTGCACTCTCCCTCACCCACTCAGCAGCCACTTACCTGTCTTCTAGGAAGGGAAGATTGAAAATCCTATGTTTCCTTACAGTCCGTGCTACCCTCCCCAACCCGTGCTACTCCCGAGGTGCCTTCTTTGATCTCTATGATACCCTTTGCATATTTCCATGCATCCTCGCCCACTTTGCAAGCCTTCCTGACCCAAGCTGACTCCCTATGCTCCATCTCTGACCCACAGGGTTTCTCCCCAGCACTCTTCCTGACTCACATTGCCCACCTGTATGCCTTATCAAATATGTGTGACATAGCTTGTGCACACCCATGCACACTTCTCAACCTTCACACTTAGTTGCTTACTGGCCTTGGAATTGCAACTTCTTGTTGACTTCTCAATGACTCTCCTTGCAAGCTTCCGCAAGCAGAGTAAATGGGGAAACAGTAGGAATTTGAGAGAAGGGAGGAAGGCAGGAGGGAGGGAGGAAAGAAGGAACAGTGCAGAAGGAATAAGCGGAGGAAGGAAAGAGAGAGAAATATGGGAGGAAGAAAGGGACAGGGTAAAAGGAAGAGAGGGAGAGTGGAAAGGAGGAGATGAAGGAACATTTCTGATACTCCTTGCCAGCACATACATACATACATACATACATACAAGGCTAGCTTAATGCAGAGGTCCCCAACCCATGGGTCGCTACTAGGCTGTGCCCCTTTTGGAACCAGGCTGCGCAAGCAGCAGGGGAGCATGCATGCACGCGCAGCTCCACTCATGAGTGGCAGGTGCTTGCATTTACATATGCAGCTCTACCTGCGGGAGCACCAGACACTTGTGCAAATGGAACTGT